TGAGCTTATTGCGTTTTTCAGTCCCGATTTGATTTGCTGATGGTAGCGACGTTATTTGACTGGAATAATGAGAAATTTAGATTGTGCGAAATGCACAAATTGGTCCTGAATGGGGAACAGAGGAGCGTGGAGGACCATTCCCATTCAAGCGGGACACCTTCTTCGATCTTCAGTTCTGGAATACACGTAGTTATATCGAGGTTACTCCGTTTCCTTTCCTCGAATTATGTTCACAATTTTGAAAATGAACAATTACCTTTTCATAGCAACTTTATTAGTTTCCGTAATTTCTGGCGGTTCTTCCTGCAATAAATTTTTCCATTTCGTCATCGAATGAGATAGGGATATGAAATTATAATATTAATTGTAACAGGTACTTTACGATGGAGAACTTATTTGCAAATTCAAGCATCGAACGCACAATTCAGTGTACGATTATGGGATACTCACTATTGCTGGCGCTCTCCAGCTAGACGCAGTCGAATTTGACAGTTGATCTTTTCCGATCATATGATTTCATTAATTCTGTACCAGTTTATATTTGTTTTGTATGCAGTAAATCCAAGCTCAACATATATTCTTTTAAATTTTCGCTCTTCCTTCTGAGTTTCAAAGGAATAAATGTTTCTCATGACAGTGCTTATTTATTTTATTCGCTTTAAATAAGCAAACAAGTTAGATTGCAATGATGACGGAATAGCGAATATACTATCCTAACTGTTGTTGGGAAGAGAAGAAGAAAAAAATTTAAAACAGAAAGGGAAGATGCGAAGCATAAGGAATTAGATACAATATAAGTTGGAATAAAATAACTAGGGTGTAGTATGTTGATAAATGTGGTTCAATATAGCATATATGAAAAATAAAAAATAAAATAAAATTTGATTCAAATATTGTCATGTCGCTGGCGTTCGCTGAAATAAAGTGACATTGTGTAACGTTGGCAAATCAGTCAGATCATTATCATTATTTGCTGAGCTGAAATCGTTTATGGATTCAAATATGGCTTACAAGTTGTTGGTGAAGATGTGAACCTTAAAATCGTCTGCAAAGATAAAATATGTTGAGTCTTGAGGAAGGCGCACACAATCAGACAGATCAATAATAAAAATGAAGAAAAGAAGGGGACCCAGAAGGGACCCTTGTGGAACACCACTGTTGATATGTTCTGGTGAACTGAAGAAGTCTTTAATAAGGACTCATTGGGAATGGTTTGGGAAGTCTCCGATTCGGTTGAGGAAGGAGCCTCGTATGCCGTAGGCTCGTAATTTCAAGGACAATTTAGGCGTACATACCGAAACAGACGCTTTCTTATGATCAAACTTTAATGTATTGATAAATCCTCACATATCTAAATGAGACACCCAATTTAGTTAGGATCGAGATAGAACCACTGTGGTTGATCTTCTATAGAGCAGTGCATATTGGAAGGAGGAAGAGAACTTATAATTTATGAAATAGCTTCTGAGTTTGACTGCAATTATTTTTTCCGTAACTTTGAAAAAAAAGCAAATCAATGAGATGAGGCAGTAGTTTTGTGTGCTCATTTTGGGGCCACTTATGTGTAAGGCTCTGATTAATGACGATTTCCACAAAAAGAGACGGAGGCAGTCATTAAAAATCTGCAAAATATGTGGCAAAGTGGGGCTGTAATAGTATTACTGGTCATTTTAAGGGATTTGTAGGGTATTCCATCAGGTGATGTATCACTTTTATTGGGAAGGTGTTTAAGAAACTTATTTGTTTCGGTTGCATTAATATCAAAGCTTAAGTATTCTAGGTGTATTGAGCTGTGGTTATATCGTGTGAAGGGGAGGTGATTCATCTTGGTCATCATGGTAAGTAGTTGTGGAGAAGACGGGCTCGGATGGGATCATCCGTGATTATTATTTCGTGATGATACATTCAGGGGCCAGTATCATCGTTAAATTTAAGTTTATCATTGGCATATTTATAAAGTTTTTAAATGTTCGTTTATTTGGTCACTTTACTTTCAGATGTTAATTTAGGGCGATAAATTGATGTTTTAAATACACAACTGAGTCTTTCAAAAGGCTTCAATCCTATTAGATATCTTTTGATGACACTAGCAAATATGTAAAAAAAGTTAAATAAATAAAAGTAGGAAAAAATAAAACAAATGAAGCTAATTAAATAAATAAAGAGGCAAAACTGAACTTACTTTGACTCTTGCTCATGCAGGCACCCATGCAGCCACACCCACCTAACTGACCAATCAGCGAGCGGGAGCGCTTCCTTAAGATTACTGTAGGCGTACCATATCCTTCCTTCCTACGTCAAAACAGTAGCGACAATTTTGATGCAACGGCAATTGAAACCATTTGTAGAAGCAGTAGGGGTTTTGTTTTCAGCGAGAAAATACTTTCGACTGATGTAACGACTGGAAAAGCGACTTTGGAAAAAATTCCGGCAAAAGCTTCAACAAGTCAGCGAGCACAGGTGAAATGAATTTGGATGCAGAAATATCAACAGCAATTC